TTGACATCAATAACATGTTAAAAAGCATTATAGCGTTTCCAATAACGCGAAGCATTTAACGAAGGATTTCAGCCCCATGGCGTATAATACTATCTTTAAAATCAGGTAAAGTCCTAATTCCTCCTCTATAAATACGGTCTTTTAGAAATCCTCACCACCAAAAATCACAGGGATTTAAGTCGGGTGAACGAGAAGGCCGTGCATTCGGAAAATGTTTGGATATTACACGATTATCACCAAAATTAGCACTAAGCGGTGCTTTGACTTGGCGCCCAATGCGAGGAGTTGCTCCATCTTGCACAAAGATAGTAGTTTGCAAACATTGTTGTTCCTGTAAAGCAGGAATGACCTGCTGTTGAAGGAGTTGCTCTGTCACGAGCGCACGGTACAGAGATCTTTTAGGACCTTGTGGAGTGAGAGTTTAAAAGAAAAAAAGGTCCGAGGATAAACTCAGCAGTAAATCTACACCAAGCAGTTACGTAAACAGAATGCAGGACATTAGAAGGTGAAGAACCACATATGCGGTAATTTTGATTATTCACAGCTCCATCTAAATAAAAATGTGCCTCATATGACCATAGAACTTTCCAAGGCCACGCATCACCAACTTCGGCAACTTCTCACCAAAAATCGGCAAGCAAATTCAAGGCATGTTTTGTTATCTTGAGGTTTCAGCGTTTGCATCACGTGGATCAAACGTTTGCATCACATTTTAAAATGTATCGCAAAATTTTTCGTACTGTCGACCACGGAATCTCCACCTCGCGTGAGACTGATCGACCACTTCCTGAAGAATAGATGGAACGAGAGGCTCTTTCAACCACAGCAGTAGCGACTTCTTCGACAGTTTCAGTCCCAACCGGTTTCCGTCCTCTTCCTGGCAGTACTCCCAAATCTACAGTCTCTTCAAATTTCATGCTCATCTTCCTCAAATTAGTCGTCTACATGGAGCCGTCTACATTAGTCGTCTACATCGCAGATATTTTAAACGACGATATTCACGAAGAGCCGCTAAGTGGTTGCTGCCCTTCTGAAAAAATAGTTTTACTATTAAAGCTCGTTTTTTTTTGTCAGGGCATGAGTATCGAGGACAAACGCATGCTGAATGATTTTCTGGCTATGACTGCAAGTTTATATAGAGGTTATACGGATTTGCATAAGGATATTCGATAAAAGCCACCTGGTGGGCAAAATTTAAACTAGTTTTTTATATTGTAGAAATCTTTTGCCCATGGTCCATATAGCATATATTCCAAGTTTCATCAAAATTCTATAAACAGAACAGGTTCTACAGGCCTCTGAACAGTGTAGCTTTAATTATGACCCTCAGTACCATACAACGAAAAACAAAAACATCGAATGCTTTCGTCCGAGAGCACTATGAGTGAAACACAACCTGTTAAGCGTATCAGCACCTTCTATATTATTAGATAAAGAGTTGCAACACATCTGATAAGAGTACATTAGCTTTACATGTCAATGTACAAAAAGAATAGTTGAGCTTGTAGGATGAAAGAAAGAGTTAGCATTACAATATAAGAGACGAAATATGGAACACTAAATAAATACAATAAAACTAAATGCAAGAAAAACAACATATCAATACGAAATTTTTTTTTAAATAAATTGAAATACTATGCACATCGCCTCAAATCACTTTTGTACGGCAGGAAATAAAATCTTGGGAAGGATCTTTAAGCTCTTGCGAAGGATAAGTCTGAAACTTTTCCATCACTTCGATATCTAGTATAAAGATAATTATTAATGAATTGATTTACATCAATTCAAGGAGAGGGTGGGAACTGCTGAATAATTTACAAGAGAAAAAAGTGTGACTCGTATATACTATTATAATAATTGGCATATGTCCCTTTCACTTTAATTTAGATCTAAAAATTCCTTAATTTCGCATTCGATTATTTACTCCAGTTTGAGGTAAACACAGCGTGACTCACTTGTGTTCTCAAAGCATTTATCTTATTGGTCACTTCCGCAACAGGACATGGAAAACGGAGATAGGAGCTCTCACACATGATGATTACCCTAGCATACCACAAGGATAATTTTTTTATACTTTTCAATTTTATCTGAACCACCCTATCTTCTGTCGAGTATCAAATGTTCCATATTTCATCTCTTATATTGTTATGCTAACTCTCTATTCATCCTACAAGTTCAACTAAAAATTGTGGAATGAGGAATGATGATTATCGTATAATGGAATGCTTTTATATTTTAACACACCTCGAACAGTAAATGGACGTGTGCCTTTCAATATTAATATGAAATTGGGTCTTGAATAGCATTCGAGTTTCATTCAATGTGGTGCTAAAAAAAGTAAAGAATAAACTTATTTTCAAGCCTTTTTCGGAGCACATTTAACTATAATACATTACCATGCAGAGCATTTTATAAAAATCTATTCTTCTATTAAAATTTTTAATTGATGTAGGAAAAACAAGCAATTTCATATAATGAATGTTTATACTAATTTACAGTTAATTATTTATAGTGTTCCCATTATCACCAAATTTTAATTTTGAGTTTCATTTGCATTAGATTTTCAAATCATGTTATATTTCTGAAACATTCCTACACATAGTTTCGAAGCACGGTAGAACAGCCTAATTGAATGGGGTTTGTCAGTTGTGTTGATGTGCACCATATCGTTTCGTCTCTCATTTTACAAGAATGTGTTTCAGATTTTTCAATCTTTTTACGTGAGGTAAATGTTGTTTTCGTTTCTCCATATTCGCAGAGGGAGGGGAGCAATGGTTCGCATTCAAAAGATAGAAAAACATGTTCTGTAGAGATGATAGCTATTTATCTTCTTAATCGGTTTTTGATTTGGTATTCAATGGAAATACCTAAATACTTTTTACGACATTTCGAATTTCAGCATAGAAGCAAAAAGATGAATCAAGTAATTTAACCATCTGATGAGAGGGTAAATTTCTAAAATGAAACAAAAAAAAAAAATGTCGCAATTACAGACTTTGCGCTTAGTTCAAATATTTTTCTGAAGAGATAAGATAACAATTTTATTTCGCTATCAGGACCTTAGCAGACATCCGTCATTATAAGTTATGTTTCACATAAGGCTAAAAATTAAAACATTAAGTAGCCACTACCTTCGGATATTCATGTTTTAAATTTAGCGGGGGGGGGACTAGTAAAACTAGGAAATTACATGTTTTCACTATCATTGTTTTCAAGCAAATTAAAAGTATTTTAACTAACAATAGAAAAGAGAGGAATAGGTTATTTACTTATGTAATCTTAAGAAATATACATATGTAACATGTTTGTACTTTTCAAATAACCATTCTCTAAAAAAATATTTCTTACAAAAATATACCTCCCCGCCAGGGAATCAAAACAGATGACCTGCTTGAAAAGCGGGGATACTCACCTCTATACTACCGAGGATAGACACAATTGCCGAAACCCGGGATCACACCAGGGAACTTTAGCTAATCAGTCTAACGATATACCAATTGATCATACTGCTGTGAAGCAGCAGTAATGGCAATTCGTATCTTCAGGAACTGCAGGAGGAGATGGTGTCTTCTCTCTCTTTTCTAATTTTTTTTATTTTATGTTAACTGAAATTGTTATCTTAAAGTTATTTACCTGTTATTCTGAATCATCTATCTTTTCTAATTTTTTTTTATTTCATATTTACTGACATTGCTATTTTAAAATTATTTGCCAGTTACGTATATGTATTATATCATCTCTCTTTTCTAATTTTTTTTATTTTATATTGACTGGCATTGTTATTTTAAAATTATTTACCAGTTAGGGCAAAAGTCAGAGTTTTTCTGCCAAAATTAGCCTAAGAAATTTTCAAAATTGCCCAAAATTATGAAGAAAAAAAAATTTGAAAGCAAAATTCGAGAGAATGCTGGGCCGCGAACGGTGAACCACAAGTGGGTGAGGGTATACTGTATTTAGGTCCACACGCAATATATATAAGTAGGAATAAACTCAAAAAGGAAAATTGCCATGTTTCAGTGTATAAACTTTAAGAGTAATAAACTGAAAGAAATAAAACACGCAATTATCGTTCTCTGCATAAAAAAAAATTATGTATTTGAAACACCAAAAGAAAAAAAAGAGAGAAAGATGTTTTTATTTACGTAATTGTAAGCATTACATCTGTACTAAGCTTCTTGTATTTAAATTCTCTTTTCCGAAAATAAATGTTTCATAGTGAAAACTTCCTTCCTTCTAGAGAATCGAACCCCAGTCTCCCTCGTGACAGGAGGGGATACTCATAAATTTACTAACGAGGATAAACATAATTGCTGAAACATGGGATTTTTCAGAACCCAACTGAACTATTTCGGCACTCCCGGAAAATATACACAAATCGGAATTAACTCAGAAAGGAAAATGGGTATATTACAATGTATAAGTTTTAAAAGTAATAGATTAAAGAAATAAAAAAGGCAAGAAAAAAAACAAATTAAAAGAAAAAAACAACAACAACTCACCAAGAAGGAATTGTCCAATGAAGACAAGAATTGGCGGATAGAAAAAAATATCTTCAGAATAGAAAGTGATTAAAATTTTAGAAAAACTGAATGATTTATTTCAGAGTTACATAGTTACAAAGTAACGAGTTCGATAAGGTGGTGACCCACCTCTACCATGGATGCAAGACGACGTGGTATAGAGTGATTAAGCTCCCTGATGGTCTCCTGCTGTATTTCTTACCCAATTTGTTTCAATTGTCGGGGAAGGTCATCAACGTTCCCTGGTAGATGCAGTCACCTTCCCATCATATCCCAAACATACTCGATTGGAGAGAGATATCTGGTTGGCCAAGGAAGTGTTTGATAAGCTGTAAGACAGTTCATAGCAACACGTAAATTTTCTTTTCCGAAAATAAATGTTCCTAAGTGAAAACTTCCTTCCTGTTGGGGAATCGAACCCCATTCTCCCACGCGAATGGCAGGCTTACTCACCACTAAACTACCGAGGATAGATACAACAGCCGAAAACCGGGATCGAACAAGTGATATTTAGATTATTAGTTTAACGCTCTAACGATTGAGCTATTTTGGCTCGCACGACGCATATACAAATAGGAATTAACTCAAATAGGAAAATGGCTATGTTTCAATGTATAAGTTTTAAATGCACTAGATTTTGAAAAAAATAAAATACACACTTATCGTTCTCTGCAAATACATTAAGTGTATTGGAAATACCAAAAGAAAAAAATAGAGATAGGTTTCTAATTTACGTATTTAAAGCATTACATACGTACTATGTTTCTTGTATTTCAAAATCCTATTTTCCCAAAATAAATGTTTCTTAGTGAAAACTCCCTCTCCGATGGAGAATCGAACCCCGAGCTCCCACGTGACAGGCGAGGATACTTACCACTATACTAAAAAGGTTAGACACAATTACAGAATCTCGGGATCAAACAAGGGTATTTAGATTTTTAGTCTAACGCTCTCCCGACTGATTTTTTTGACACGCATGCAAGATATATAAATAGGAGCTAACTCGGAAAGGAAAAAGGATATATTTCAATGTATAACTTTAAAAGCAATAGATTTTGAAAGAAATCAAATAAGTAGTTATAAGCAAATTATGTTTATTTTAAACACCAAAAGAAAAATAAAGATAGGTTTCTAATTTACGTACTTAAAAGTATTACATATGTATTATGCTTTTTGTAATTAAAAATTCTCTTTTCCTAAAATAAATGTTTCTTAGTGAAAACTTCCTCTCCGGCGGGAAATCGTACTTCGGTCTCCCGCGTGACAGTCAGGTATATTCACCACTATATTCCCCGGGATAGACACAGTTACCGAACCCCGGGATCGAACAAGGGATATTTAGATCTTCAGATATAAAGGTCCCTTCGTTTAATTCAGCTGATTCATGTTCCGTTTGTAGCTGTGTTAAGTTCTCTTGGTTGGATGGCGGAGAAGTTGTAAAATGGGGTTTCATTTTCAAGTATCGTACTCTTCTTCGGATCGTGATTCCATTGCCATCAATACTCGTGTTACTTCTAAAGCTATTTTAATAGGCAATCAATTAATTACATTTAAGTATCAGTATGGTATGTTATAGGCACATACTTCACAGAACATAATAGGCACACTTTTTTACGACTTATATCTGACATCTATTTCTACTTAAGAAACTTCCTTTTCACATTCTTATCCTATTTTCGTAGCTTATAACTTTATAATTTCACTATAACTTACAATTTAGTGTTTAGCTTCATTTTGGCTCTTAATTATCTTTCTGCTATTACTCTTGAGACAAACGAAAGGAACGGAATTGACAATAACAATTAATTTTTATTCTAACATACTTTTATCGCTTAACCATTAGGTTACACGCCCGCTTTTAAGGGCTCCTGACTACCTTCACTCACCTGCGATGAATTATAGATCTCTTGCTTTCTCTCTATCTCTGGAGTGTTACTCTGTCACTGAGGGTGTTGTGTAAGTAAACATCTTACGCTCGCCGCTTACAAAGCACCCTCTACAGACGGGCGACACCAATTATTCTGGTTCGATATATCAAGCTCTATTTGAAATGCAGACCATTCATTAATTAAACCCTGTCAGTCAAAATTTCGTTTTATTTTTTTGCTAAGATAAATCAAGTAGCCACGACTTGGTGAAAACAATGCCGGGAGCGAGTCTAGATCACTGTTCCTTGATTACGTCTGACACGATCACGGATTTTTAGGAAGAATAATCCGCGTGCTGTATATGTACGAATTCTTCCTCGATTAAACTAAGAAACGTGCTCGAAAGACGCACCTTTTTTTCGAGGCGTACCGAAATTGTTTAATAAGGAACCACATGAAAGAGCGATCCCAGTACTTCAAATCGGAATTCTGCTCTCTCTTTATTTGACACTTGACGGTATTGCAGGCACCTATAGTGTACGCCTGCGTTCTAATGATAATTATTGGCATTCCCATCGCAGTATACATATGGTGAAAGTTTCTCGTCTTTGATGCTTCTTTTTGTGGTTCTGCATTTTAAATCGCCAGCAGTTGGTGGAAGTGTTTAAAATAATTGTGATGTCAAATTTTGTATAAACGTATGAATGTCAATTAGAAATATTTGTGATCCAACATAAATTTATTTATAGTTTTGATTTAGATACGCAAATTTAATTTTGTTGATTTACTTTTTAGACGTATTATCATCTTTTTAATTCACATACTTAAAAAGATTATTTATCTTTTAGAATATTTTTTACACAAAAAGTAAGTTATGAGCCATATCTTCTTCAATGCGGTCTTAGTACAAATGACACTGATCCTTGTGTAATTACCTAATTTTTTGAATATGAGTTTTAAGATTTTAAGCAGCATTTATAACTGAAAATGAAATAAAAAGGGAATGAAACATTTTAAAAAACACAAAAATATTATAAAATGACGCGCTCAGTGAAAGCAGATTTAAAATTTCTGAAATTCAACACAAAATTAATAATTTCTGAGTATGTTTGGAAAAGACAATGGTCCAAATTATAAGGTCCTTTTTTAATTTTAAAAATTATTTATCTTCTAATTTTAATTTAAATAATTAAAATAGTTTTCCTTAATTAAACTAAATCAGAGATTTAAAAAATAAAAAATGATCAGGGCAGTCAAACCCCGACCGAGAAACTTCGACAAATTAAAAACCAATTACTACAGTAATAGGTTCCAATAATTGGTCAGCGTCGCCGAAAGACAGTAATTAAAGGGCAAATATGCCTAATAGTGGTGTAGAAATCCATTCGCATTTCTATTTGATTTCCTTCTTCTAGATTAAGTTTGGAAAATGGAAAAAAAAATCGTGTTTAAAAATGTCATTGTTGTAAACAGATGTAGTACATTTACTTACTACCAATTAGTTTTAATTTTAAGTTACTTTTATTTTTATAGACACACACACACACACACATATATATATATATATATATATCTTTCAGAAATTATATCAATGTTAAATTTTTAAGTTTCAAAATAAGCATATAATTAAACTATTAAAGTGCTATTTTAAGATTGAACTATTCTCGCGTTGGTTAGATTTCTTAGTTTGTCTTTTTAATTTCCAAAATCCAAAGGATCCATAATTTGAAGCACAAGAGCATAAAATCAACTTTTGAAAAAGATTATCGTTTGATTCTCCACTCTGGTACTAAAAAAAAATTTAAAAAAAAAGATTTTTGAGATGTTCCAATAGAGAAATCATAGGAACATGCGAACAAAGAACAACGTTACATTTAACATGTCCTGATAATCCTTAGCTATTCTTAGGAGATTGTTTTGAAACATTTAATATAAAAAATGGCTCAAAATTGCATATACATCAATCACTCTATTTTTGAAAACTCTAAAACAATATAACGTGCTCAAATAAAGTTAATTGATTAACAATATACATATTATAAAGTATATTAGACTAAAAAAACAAAAATAAAGAATCGATAATATTTTATTTAACAAAATTTTTCACTTAAATTATACAAATTTCAGTGTCACAAAATTGAGTATGAACACTCTATAAAAATTATGAATTTTTACCATAACTTTTTTGTCATGATTTCGTATCATACTTTTACTGCTTTAAGATGCTAATATGTGCTTTCCAGAACAAAAAAAAATATTTTAGATGCAAAATGAGCACCAGAACACTGAAACTAATATTGAAATTTGGAAAAAAATATCATTTAAATGTCTGAGGTAGGTAAATTTCTGCGGGAATTTGCAAAGGATGTTTATGCTAAAAGCTATCCAGAAGTATAAAAAGTTCGAGCAAATGGCAAATAAACCTGGAAAAAACAAGTTCATCAATTCGATGAGCAAGAAAAAACTCCTAATGTCCTAAACTCCTTCCATATAAATAATTAAAAAAATATTTCGATAAGCAAATTATAATACTCGCATTGCTAAAAGAAAGTCCTTCAGTTCCAGAACAGTTAGAGAAAGAAGGATTGTATTTGCTGAAAATCCTACCTCAAATTCCTGTATTTCTAGGATAACGCAATGTTCACTGATGAGAGTTCTTTCAATATTTTTGGAAGTTAATGGTCGATAGTTTGTTTGGCGAATTCCTAACTCTTAATTACTTCCCCCAATACAATCTTATTGTCAAGCATAGAGTTATTTAGTTCTTAAATGTATGCAAAAGGCATCGGAAAATAAATTTTAATGACGGAATCATGGATAAATGGAAATAAATAAATGCACTGTAGAATAATTTAAAACTAAGTGATTAAATTATTTTCAGAAATTAGATTATATGTAGCATCGTATGTTTCAACAAGATTACGGACTAAAACATTTAGTCCAAAATATTAAATTATGATCGTTGTAAGATAGCAAAGAATAATTGCATGCACCACCTCAATCTCTGTACCACATCAAAATAGAAGACATGGGGCCTCAATAGAAAACATTTGTTCAAAAGTCTATTACAGTTTGACAGAGAGTATTTTAAGAAAAATGAGCAAAAATATCCATCAAACTCCATAAACCCATTCAAATTAATACACACATCTTGGAAATTGTTCTAAATGCAAAAGATAGGGAATGAAAAGAAAAAAAAATATTAATTTATGTTTTTCGAAGAGAAAAAAAAGTAATTATGTATTATTTATATAATCAGTTTTGTGGATTTTAGAAATCTTTGTTTTCAGCATAAAAATTATGGTAATTAAAATATTATCGTCCAATCATTTTTGTATCGAAGCGTAAAATAGTTTAATGTACATTTATTGTTATTATAAATATTAAACACTTAAATAAGTATATATTTAATAATATCGATTTACGCCTTTAAGGAAAAATGTGAGTAACATACATTCAATTTTGGGTGCCACTGTATACATATTCTGTGGATGGATATGAATATTAATTCACACAGTAATAAAGGATTATATCTTCAATTTTCGTGTTTTTTTTAAAAAGGTTTTCATTCATTTAATCCTGATTTACTCGTAATTTCTTCGTTTTATTATTGTGCATGAGGTAATGATTTAACCATTCTCTTATGATCTGTTAGTATATATTATAATAATCAATCATTAGCGTTTACAATTGTTATTTATGGAAAAGCATTTTTAATTATTGAAATTTATGTCAGAATTCTGAGCAGATGGTAAGTTGAAGTAATTTAATAAGAATCTGCCTCTCTCTTCTTTTCTTCCTTCTCGAATTCATTTCAGTATTAGTTTCTTTCTTTTCAACTTTTCTAAATAATATCGTCTGGAAGTGTAATCTTCAGTTACATTCACCCCAATAAAATAATTTTAAATGATTAAAAACACATTTTTAATTTTTAGCTATTGATCTATATTTTTGAACTTAGAAAACAATATAATTTTATATGTTAAAGCTGTATACTTACATTGCATGAGAGAGATATTTATA